CTCTCTCTCTCTCTCTCTCTCTCTCTCTCTCTCTCTCTCTCTCTCTCGGGTGCACAGCCAAAGCAAACGGACCAGTCGAAAGTGTACAATCCCGAAAGAACGAACACAGACGTGATTCTTTTCTGGATACAAAATTTCGAGCAACATATTTTCTTTATTTAGAGGTAGAAGCGTCCTCCGTCGGAGAAGACAGCTTTCCATTTCGTTCGTATACGCTATACGTGAAACGCACGTGCGATCCCTCGACGTCCATGAACGGAATAAAAGTGAAACCCCCGCGAAATGAATGAAACGACTCTCTCCGGCTCGAAGCATTTAATCGCTGGATTCTGAATCATCGGCGCGCGAACAAACAAAGCGTTGCCGCTTAAAAATCGCCGAGACGACGATGAGACGGGGCAAAAGAAGAAAGCAATGACCACGGTCGCCAATGGAGCGGAGAGGAAGCGCGAACTGGCTGTAGGAAGGAAAACGGAGCGCGCGCTGGTCTCGGCAAGGCCGTTGGTTCGTTTTAAAAGTGACATCGTCTTCGTCTTACCTTCTTCCGCTAAGAAACGAAAAGAAAAATAGCAAACGAGGAAAAGAAGAAACAGACGATCAGGCCGTGTATGACTGCGTCACGCGACGCGTGTCCTTTCCTTTTCCGCGTAAAAATAAAGTATCGTGTCGCGACGCCGAAAATAACGCGGCCGACAGACTCTTTTTCGACGCATTGCAGTCTCTTGTATTTTATCTTTAGCTCTTTGCGGTCCCCGAAGCCTTAAACGCGATATTCCCCTCTCCGTCGAAATACCGGCTGCGTTATTCCGCGTGTAACGAGGCTCGTGCGTCGCCTAATTGCCAAGAAATTTCTCCAGAAACGAAATCGCGTAATTAGTTACTGGTCCGCGTACAACTTAGCACGTGAAAAAATCCGTTTTCTCTACTTTTGTATTCCAATCTGTGCATTCGAGGAGTCTGTGGACGCTTTCCGCGATGAAATCGTAATTTAACGGTACAGGACTCCTCGGAATCCATAGTTTGATAAAACCGAGTAAAATTTAAGGAATGCTTTAACGTTAACCCGTTGCACTCGGAAGCTCCTCGTGGCTGAGCTACCAACAATTCGATGATATTTTTTTTGTATATAATTGTAAGGGACAACCGAGGTCAAGCAAATTGGATGAATATTTGGACATTTTCAGAATTCATGGATCAATTGGAACTGCCTGTTTGTTGCAGAATGCACGTTCGGCAAGCAGATACGGGAACTGGGCTCCACCTGGTTCGCGGATTTGGGCCCGCCCTTCGGAGTCATGTACTGCATCAAATGCGAATGCATTCCGGTACGTATTAAAGTGGGTGTGCCCCACACGCATTCTCGTGTGCCTTTGTGTGTACGCGCGCGCGCGAGTTGACGCTGGTCTGTCTGTGTTTGTGACCTCTAACCCCGACTTGTGGCGAGGCTCGCAACGGACCGCGCGCCGGCTACCTTTCTACATATGTAGCCCGATCCGACCTGACGTGACTTTTACGGAATTCACGCCGACTATTCGTGTAGGTCAGTAGTTCCTAAACTTCTCTTTCCACCACGAACCCGCCTTCTCGGTATAACGTTTCCCATTCTCAGTTAAGGTAGGATTACGTTTAACGATTTCTCTTTGATACGTATTTCTTCAACTTGTCAGAATTTCTACGGTAATCGCCAAGCGTACAATACCGCGTAGTAATACGCATAAATTAAAGTCATTACAGTTTCTTGCACGTTACAGACGGTATCTCGCCATATTTATGCTCGTTGTAACGAGGTTCAGCTGTGTTAACAAAAAAATTGTGACGTCCGTTTAAACGATTAATTCGATCTTGAAACGACTTCCGAACAAAGAGATGGATTACCTTTTACTCGACGCTCGTCGTGTAAAGTACGTTTTATATAAAGTTGTGTTTCGCGCGAGCTGTTTTCTTCTTATTTAAAGGAAAAGATCGATTTGACTAAATTCTATACATATAGTTTGATAAGGACATGCTCCTCCTTCCTCGTACCATTTATCTCTGGAAACGCTAAAGCGCGATTTCTATTAGTTTCTAGAGAAAACAGCTGGTAACTCTTTACTCGGGACACCCTGTACATTATGATCCGATCAACGTCGGACGGTTTCCTGGATCGTTACTTCCGAGAAGGTCGCGGAGATGGCATTGCCCTTTGGAGAGCGCTGTAGCCTCGACGTAACACGCAAAGCACGGACGAAATCTCGATCTGGGTGACGTGACCCACGGAGACTTGACGTGCTTTCTAATCCCATTCCTGGTCCGAGACAGACTGGCGTCCGCTTCTGAGATTGCCTATACCGCTGCCGTATAGTATACATATAAACACGCCTGCGTGTATTGTCTTACGTGTGTTCGTCACTCGTCACGTCGCGTCCTTTTAATTAGGATTTTGACTATTCGACTAGTTTATTAGTCGTAGGTATAAAACGTACTTTCCTGTCGAAAACGATCGAGCAAGAACATAGTCGTTGGAATATTTACGGACGCAGAGGAAACGGTATCGCAAACGTGTCCATGATGGGTCGCGACGGTTTATGTTGGGTTATGCGTTTCGATACATTGCGATACAGATCAGGTCGTGGACCTTTAGTCGAGGTGCTTCAATGTACCAAAATAACGATTATCAGCATTCGTTTAAACTACAGTTACAAACGAATAATTTTTTCTAATCCGAATTTTCGTCTAGATAGATGCACTCACCCCGAGTCCCTGGAACACGATACCATGGGAATGTTTCCGTCGAGTCGGAACGATCGTCTCGATTAAGAAGCGTCCCGCTATTCACTAACCGAGGCCTGGCGTGATTCATCCACCCACGGTTTTCTGATCGGGGTAGCCATTCATTATTTTGACACTATTGTAGAAATAATGATAGAAGCGGGGAACGTGTTCGGGCCGGAAGTCAGCGTCGATTCGTGCGTGGGGTCTCGCGTGTGGGACGCTTTCGTGTATTCCCAATGAAAAAAAAAAAAAGAAAAGAAAAAACCGAGAGAAACTTTTGATCCGTGCCGCTGCACGGGAATATATTAGCCAACGAAGAGAGGCGCTCTTTCGTTCTTCGATATTTATTCCCCGATACGGTTGCGAAATACGAGAAATGTCAAGGAATGGGCGCGAAGGTTCGAGTTCCAATTTACAAACAATTTTGTAGGCTCGTAGAACGGTAATAAAAAATAATCGACGCGTATTTTTGTTTAACCGTGGTAACTCGAGTTTAAGAGGTGTTTCAGCGGAGACTGATTGCGTGATTCACCCCTCCAAAGGTTGACTATACGCCGGAGTATCGCTTAATATATTACCGTGGCTCTTGGCGTCTGAATTTCGCGGCTAGAACGCGAAATCGTCTAGAACGTAACTGTACAGAAGCGAAGCGCGTAACGGTAGACACACCAGTCCCCGGTATGACTTTAGGTAAAGAAACGACGTCTCGTGTGATTCACGCGACGTGTCTGTCCGCTTCTCGCAACGAAGCCCGCGACCTATCAATAGCTCCTCGTATACACTGAAGAGGGACTGTCATTCCTCTCGAGACTAAAAATAGAGTTCGCGCGTCCGTCCATAAGGCTCTAGTCCAAGCTGTCCCGTATCAGAGTCTCTCGTTCTGCGTTCTCTCTCTCTCTCTCTCTCTCTCTCTCTCTCTCTCTCTCTCTCCTTCTCTCTCCTCTCTGGTATCGCGGAACGAGAAAAATTGTTTGCCCAATGAAAACTAACAGTGGTGATAAATATAAATTAATCGTAATGGTAAAAATGAAAAACGATAAGAAGTAAAATAGCAGGAAAAAAGGCTTTACGGTGAATATAAATTAATTAAAGATAAGCAAAGAAAACGGAGTTACAAGGAAAGGAATGAACGAGGAACGTATACTGACGGAAAACGAACAAGTACGATGATATTTAGCAGCGCCGCTAGTTTGCGTGCTCGCCGTGCGCCGAGACGGTTGCGATGGCCAGACTTGTTACAGGCAAACACGTAAGAACCGTAGCCACTCAAGGACGGAGTTTACGAAGATTGGCTAAATTAAAGTCCATTAGGTCCGTCCGAGCGGACGATAAATGCAAACGCAAACGACGGAGCCCGTTACTACGCTAGAGAATATCAATTGAACCGCGTAACAACGGGGGCTTCGAATCGTTTTATGATTGACCTCGAATTTATTTCCACATACTTCGTCCCACAATTAAACCGTTCCACGGGTCGTGCTATTAACCCGATGTTACTAACCCCTCGGTGACTCGGCCAGACTGACTTCTGGTTCCCATAAACCGTTGTTTATCGTTCTCGTTTGTTAACACCGCGCCGTCGGATGATACGTATCTCCGCATTCCAGTTGAATAACATAGCACGGAGACGCGCGATATCGGAGTAGTCGTGTACCCTTCGAGTAGAATCGATAAAAAGTTGGTCAGTTTCAAAAACGCGTATGCTTGGATGGACTACGATCTTCGGTATTGGACGCAAAAAGGGGAAGAGGAAGAAAGGTGAACGGCGGGAAAAAGAACGAACGCGGATATCGCGTGGGAGGTGTCGGTAGGTTTTGTGTAATAAGATGAGTATCTTTAATAGTCGGGCCGATACGAGTCGTGGGCATCGAAAACACCCTCCCCATTCGTAACCACCTTACATCGGCGTCCCTTTTCAACGTCGCCGAGATATCCTGCACGAGTGGGTGCGAACGAAATCTCGACATGATCTTCGTTTAACGGTGCTTTTGTTCCTGTGTCGGATGAAAGGTGTTTCGCGCGATTAAAATCTGGATTCGTCGTGCGTTAATTAAACTTTTCGTTTGGAACGTTTCCAGGGGAACGAACGGTTTCTCACGATTAAGGTCTGTCGGTGCAACGACATCCCTCAAAAAATGGATCGTTATCGATGGCTACTCTTAAACTCGAATGGTATAGTTTGAGGTTCGTTGAACCAGAATACGACATTAAGCCAACGCCTTTCCTCGAGAAAGTCCGAAAGATAGTCGTTGAACGGAGCTAATCGATTGCCAGCCGTGCGTTATCTGCTCAAAATCACGCTCGTTAATACGGACCCTATTATTAAGAGAAAAATCGATACGAAAAATGGCTGATTTAGCAACTGGCTTTAGCTTTTCGTACAGGACGCAGCAAAATAAGGTGATGTTTGCATACAATAATTTATGTACGAAACTTTTTAGATCTAGTAATTTTTTCAAAGTTTTCATGTATTCGTCAAACCTGCCGCCGACTGTGTCCAAGTAAAAAATGTCTGAAAAAGCGGCACCTTTACCGTTCGAAAGTAAAAGAGCCCGTTAAACCGAGAGTGGCGTAAAATTATCTGCGGTGTCCGACGGACACGCGTCGACCACTCGATAAATATCCAACTTTACAGCAGATTTGCGGCGCCTAGCCTGTCCGTTGGTGTGAAAAGCCAATCTCGTGAAATTCTTTCGCGACGGTCGCTTGCCGACTAAGGGTCAGAAATAAGGGATCGTAGACGCCGGGCCGAACGGAGGTTTCCAGTTACCAGTTACAACAGCTCGAAGAGCAGAAATTAAGTTTACGATTTTATAGAGTTGCACGGCATTCCTGAAACGCGCAACGCGTCTCGGTCGATAGTGATACGCGTGCTGAACAAAAATGAATGAATAAAAAGGAAACCGAAGAACGAGAAAAGACCGGCGAGCCAGTCGAACGCGTTAAATTTCGAATTGCACGAGAAACGGGGCGCCAGAAGTAAATTTTGCGTTTCAAGAGGCACCGATTGTTCGCGAGACGGTTAAAGCGGGAGATACTTTTAGGCTTTGGGTGACGATGCACGACTCGATAATTTGCGAGAGACACGTTTCGCGACACGTTTACGTTCGTGTTGCTTTTCAACGATATTTCAGTACCTAGGTCTAGTGTAAATATATAGTAAAGAACTACACCGGTAAGTAAAACGTTCCGAAGGCGAAACAGCACACGGCGGAAACGACAAATGTATGGTGGAAAGTGGCGTTCCGCAAAGTCAGGAAATATGAATATATGAGACGTACCGTGTATGCCGCACGCATCGATAACGGGCTCCGTTGACCGTGGTTTTAGAATAATTATAGGGGGCAGGTCGCGGCGATCATTTTTCACGATCGATCGTGTTAGAAAGTTGGCGACCAACAGAGACATTAAATAATAATTTATATTACACGGAGTATTGTAAATCGTGCCGTGGATAAAGCCACCATCGACCGTGATAAACGAGTTCTTTGTGATCAATAACACCTACCAATTACTTGCCAATGGATTTATCGCGTGACCGCGTATGTAAACGTTACAACTATCGCCAACGATGCGTAAACGAGTGATAAACATGTGAGCGCGTTACAAGACTCGAAGATATTGCTGGAAACGGTGCTCGTTAATCGCCGTTTTACCAACTTTTGCAAACGCTGCTTTCTTCGCGATTTTCATTTCATTTTCGCGCTAATGGTTCCAGTTGTGTTTCACACGCGGCACGAAATTCTATTTTCAGGTGCAAAAGAAACGGCGTATCGTGGCGAGGGTTCATTGTCGTAACATCAAGAACGAGTGCCCGAAGTTGACGTGCGACGAGCCTGTTTTGCTTCCTGGTCGGTGCTGCAAGTCCTGTCCAGGAGATTTCAGTGAGTAGTTGACACTTTATTTTAACGAAGCACGTTGCAAGTTGTAGCCCATCCAAGAACATCGCGCGTTTCATTAACGTTCTCGATCAAAGTTTAATATTTCGAACGAGTAATCTTGTTGCGTTTGTGCGTATTACAATAGCGAAAATTCCCCTCGTAGTGGTACACTTGAAACGTGTTTGCACCCATAGAAACGTTGCTTTCGCTATCTCCTATCTCGTTTTAAGACCGAAGAAGAAAAACGTCTAGAACTGCGCGGCGGGCACGCGTCGACTAATATGTCGATAAATACTGTTGGACGCGGCTTACACCTGTAAGAAACGCACAGAATGCCGCGGAGGAAATAGGACACACGTCGGTGGAAACATGACAATGTGTCCGAGATAAGGAGGTTGACGTCATTGGATGTTGGGATTCGAGCTTCGCGACAATCGTTAACGCACCTTCCACGCGGTGTATCCGTTTCACCGTGAACGCGTAAACCGTGACCGTACCGTTCTTATTCGCAACATATAATCCAATTTCATTTCTTACGGATCTCTCGTTTATCTCTCGTTAATCCTGTTACGGTCCAGACTTTCGCGAACGCGATACACTTGGGTCGAGCCTCGCTCGACATAGGACCGCAAAGGGTTAGAGCGGTGAAAAACAAGCGTTAAAGCGACTAGTCCAGTTATCGGGAGCGAGCTTACGACAGTCTCGTGGCTCGTAAACATCACCAAAGGATATAGACGCAACGTATCGGGCCTGGAAGCATTAATGAGAGTCAAGTGGCTTGCATAAATCATTTATCAACGATCACCGCCTCTTTGTCCATATCTTTCTCTTTACCGGTTTCTACGGGATCATTTTTCTCCGTCTCTGTCGGCCGATCGACCGATCGCTAATCGTACTTGCAATCCCATGTAATCACGGTTGAGCGTTATCGCCGGAACCCTTACTTTTATTATCGCCTCGATGCTCGAGTACACCTATTAACGGATTAACGGTTCGGTACGATAGAACAGGGATGAACGCGTTCGAATCATTTTCTAATCGATACAGGCGTGAGTTTTTATAAAATACGATACTCGATTCGTTTCTTTTCTATCCGAGAATCGAGCTTGTTTCTGTTGACAATCTTTGTGTCGGCTGTGGTGGTGATCTCTATACGGTTAGGCGAAATTATATCTAGGAAATTCTCTCTGGTCCGTTATCTGTGTACCGAATATAGAGTACGTATTATCTCGCAGATGTGCAACTTTCACTGGTAAGGTGCGGGGCCGAATTCTACCGTACGTTCGCTCGACTTCTCTCTTCCTCTCTCCTACGCGTTTCCTTCTCTCTCGGTCGACCGATTTCTATATAGCCGTTAATCGGCGTAGAATGCGGATGGAATAAACGAAATGGTCAGAATAGTTGCGCCCATTCCTACGTGCTTTTCAGTGGAAATGCAAGGAGCAGCGAAAAATGAAGGCCGAGGATTTAGCACTGTCTCGCGAACGGCGCTTTAGCTTTAACCTAGCAACGCGCAGGAGGTACATCGTGCACGGACAGAGGTATACATGGTATACAGAGGTATACATGTATGTATAGGTGGTAGGCGGGGCCGTTTAACAGTCGACCATAAATTCGCCATGGACCACACCGTTTGGTCGATTTAATAAAGTATACTTCTCTCGGGTCACTGGTCGGAGTATATGTATACACGGTATTTTCATAGGTTGCCTTTAACCCGTTTGCCTCGTAAACCTTGTTTTTCGGTATATTTTCGCACCAAGTTTTATCGTACAATTATTTGCCACAGTCAAACATGTAAAATGATACATTCTACAAACTCGAGCAGAGAAAATTGCACCGCGATTAGATGGATATTACTATGATAATGGTATGACGTTTAGTTGGTCATGATCGTGAGGCGACCGATACAGTCACGAGCTCGTGCAAAAAAAAGTCCAAGTTGAAAAAACCTAATCCGAGAAACACGCACTAAGGCGCCAGGAATCCTACATTTTATTTACGAATAAGGGAGCCGGTGCCACCTTTTACGAGCTTTTTCTACAATGCGGTCGAGGACTGACGTCGTTACCGACTGGCATGATGAAATAGCGTTGCAATTAAACGACCGGATAAAAGATACGTATACAAGATGTTCCTTCTAAGTCGATCGTTTATTTTGTTTTTATTATGGACGCAGAAATTATCATAACACTTTGTCCACTCGAACGACTCGATGGTTAAACGAGATACGATAAACCAAGTCGGCCTTTAAATAGACGCATTTTTGTCTGATCTCTAAACGCGTTTGATCTTTTCACAACTTTGTTGTCTCCGTACGAGAAACTCGTATCGAACGATTCGCGTAAACATTTGGCTGACGACAAGATTATTGAAATTTTTGTTAACGGAATATCGTATAGAGTTTTGCTGTTCGATAGACACGGAATAAATTTCTACACGTAACGTGATCTACCCGTAAAAGAATTGAAAAAAAGGTATGTATAGCGTGATCCTTGGTCGGAGACACCCTGTATGCAGAGCGTGGGGAAAGATACCGCGGCGCTATTCACTTTTGCAACGCGGGCAAGCACAATTTATTGGTTACTTAGAATCAATTAGCGAACTCGCATTTATTACCCGTGGACAAGTCTCCGCTGTCATTGTCCGCGCGCTTTCTACTTCCATTCGGGGCGCGCGAGATTTCTTTATCGCGTCCCCGTGGAAAGCCTGCGCGCCGCCTCAAGTGCGCGCCACTCGGATCTCTCTGGCATTTTATTGCACACTTTTTTCCCCGTATTAATTCTCGCAATCTCGTGAATGAGAATTGCCAGCTATCGAGCGAAGGAGAAATGTCATCGGATTTCATCTCCCGTTAATCATCGCTCGCGCACAAACCTGTCAGACCGTTTCTACCACTGACGGGAAGATGACTGGTCGACGATAAATCATACGGCACGGTTGGATGAGAAGAAAAAAAAATCCATTTAAATTGCGCTCGGTTCGTTGTTCGCGGTAACGCGACGATAAATTGTAGATTTTCGTGATTTATCGTTAGAAAGAAACCGGGCATATTTTACTTGAAACGAATACTAGAAACAATCGATTTCGGACCGTTGTTTTCGGTACAGTTGCTCGGAAATAAAAATAATATCGATTCGTTCCAAGTAGGACGTAAAACTCTTTCAAACAACGAATTATCGACGAATACTTTTCCTCCGGTATATTCAATTACGGTCTGGAAATGGAAAGTAAAAATAATAATATTAGCAGACGGTGCCGCGTAATTCTCAAGTTTATCGGTAATTGGAGAAACCGTAGTTACCACGCCGACGGTGTCCCGTAAATCGTAGCGGTGCGCGATAGCTCGGATAGCGCTACTCGATATTCAATTACGCGTGAACGTCGCGTTCCTTGCGTAGATTAGCAATCGAAAGGCGAACCATCTCCCGTAAATATTTAGAACGCTGTACGCGTTGGCGAACTCCTACTCGACTGGAAACTCTGATTCTGCTCTCGTAACTAGGATTAACACCTTTCGCCGAGTGCAAATATTGACATAAATCCGCGAGACAACGTGGTCAGATAAGCGACCGCGAGAGACACCGAATTACCCGTACTAGATTCGAGAGGGTTAGCGGAGGATCCGTGGAGGTGCGCAGCGAAAAAAAGTGCGGAAAAAAGAGTCGATGATAGAGAAACGGTAGAGACAAACGCGGGATGAATGATGGAAAGAGAGGGAGCTCGATAGAAGAAGCGTGCGAGCGAAAGGAACGAAGAGGAGCGGAAGGTTGATGGGAGAGCGTCGGAAAGGGGGTGGGAGAGGTCGGGCGCCACGGTTTAGCGCCATGGCGCCGGCTATATTACCGCATGGCGTCACTTCGATTAAGCCGTGCAATCTAAATGTAAATATTAGCATACGTAATGATCGGGCATAACGCTACGCGCGGGAATGAGAATAGACGAGGAGCCCCGGCCGCAAAGAGGGTTTGGGAAGGTCGCGGGGGAGAAAAAGTTTGTTTCTTTTCGCAAGCCATTCCTCTACCGACGTGGCCCACAACCGTCGTCGTTTTATCGTCTCTTCCGTCATTTCTTATCGCCCGCCTCGGCTTTTACCGTCCGCTGCCTTTTCGTTCCTAATTTCGCGTCCGTTCCCCTCTAGCGCTCTTTCTTCCGAAAATTTTAGCTCGACTTACAAAATAAAATTATGTTTCGTGTCGAGCAAACGAAATTTCGTTTGAATAATCGTTCGATCGAACGAACCTTACACGATAAATCGCCACGCAGAGTTTATATTCGTCGTCTGTTATTCGAATAAAATTCCAGCCATCTCTGTCTGGCAGGCTTGTTGCCCCCCCGCTGATGGAAGATGAAGCCGCCAGCGCGTTTCTCTTTCACGTACCGCGATGAGAAACTGCGACCCGCGAGCCCCTCGATTGGACTGTCGCATCGATTCTCATCGGCTCGAATGACGGCTGGACTCGTTCTGGATACCCCGCATCCCTCCCCCTTTGCCGGTTAGACGATGTCACCTTGCGTTAAAATAAGCGACTACTCCGACCAACTATTCCCAAAAATTTACCTGTTCCTTCGGGGTGTGGCAGGGGGAGAAGGTATACGCGTCAAGTTCGGTGGGAACGCGGTGAGTTTAACGCGCAGATTTGGGCGCCGTTTTCTCGAACGCGTTTAATCTTGAATAACGACCGTCCTTCGGTCGAAAGCGCCATTTAAAGTGTCGGTCCCCGTGCGAATGCCATTAAACGGCTCCAGGGCTCTTTCTAGTCGCGGCTACTTGTCGTAAAATCACCAATCTACATCCTAGCTCTTTCGCGAATGGCGCGCTAATTTTTTGCGATAATCGTTGCAAGATTTGCATTGCTCGTTTCTCTAGAAACGAATAAAAACTTGACGGTAGAAAATCGAAGAATCCGCTAAGAATAGTTTTATACGAGGAGGACAATCGCAGTCTCGCATAAGCAAATTCTTGTTCGTCTTTCGATTCTATTTGTTTGAAAATGAGTGAATTTATTGTTTCTATTGTATCAAACTCAAACCTCCCATCCATAATTCGGCTCACTAGATGGCTACTTCCACTCGTTTCTCGTCAGTTAGCCCGGAACAGTGTACCATTCATCGTAGAATATCGACAAACTCGCGCGTGTATCGGGGCTGGCGTAATTGATCGAAAAGTGCCTTTTCGGCATCTCGTTCGGCTTCCAATGCGCGGCAGATAAAAGAACCGTGGCGCCACGGCGGACCACATGGCCTTTTGTCTGGTACACCGAGCGTAATCCATGGAAATTTTAACCTCTCGAGGAACAAAATTTTAATGGATTCTTTTTACTCCGATCGAATGTACACGCAAACTTTACTACAAAAAGAAGAAAAAAAACCACAGCAAAGAATGTACAACCCGGTACAAAGTTGAGAGGTGCGTTAACCTGCGCCAGCAAGCCCTCAGGGTTAAAAGGTGAACACGACGGTCGGAAAGGTGAAACGGCGTCGCGAGTACGGCTGTCACTGGCCCGTACTGTACGTATACCAATTAACGTATCCGTGCGGCTGGACCGGCGCGGTATGCGCCATAAAAGCAACATTCAAAGTAGCGGTGGTTGGCGCCAGCCGCCTCTTTTCCTACCCCACTGGCATTCTTTATGGTCCGTACACACGTCGCGGCTGAATGAGGATCCACGCTCCCCCCTTCCGATCCCTCTTTCTTCTCTCTCCGACGTTTTTCTGACCGCTGCGTTTCCCCGTCTCGCTCACAGCACACTTTGGTCGGTTATTTTTGTTTTAACGTTCGACTCTGGGCACATGGGTGCCGCCTTATAATCGATACGCCATCGCGTTGGATATCTTTGAACCTCTCGTCGATCCAAATCGAACGCCAGGGATTGCCGAAACTTGCATAGACGCGCGAAGAATTTCGATTCGCGTTAAGTCTTAACGTACGCAGATAATAGAAAATAGAGTGTCACGTGTAGGTACAAAAATTCTTACCTACAAGAGAACCACTTCGAATGCGTTAAGGGGCGAATTTAACGACGAGTTTCTCGGCCAGAGAAGAGTGTCAGCCGCGACGATGGTGCGCGAGCAAACCTCTTGGACCGATTTACGACCTATAAAGACTTTTTTGCGGCCACGCAGCTTCTGCGTCTCGGATGTTCGATCGCGAACGTCGCGTCGTCATTGGCAAAATGATCGAGTACAATTTGGAAAAAGTATTTATAAGTACTAAAATAGCCCGACGCGTGATCGTGGAAGCTGTATCAATAAAATTGCAATAATAACGAGTGACTATCGGAATAGTTGGGAAAATATTGTTTTCAAAATCAAATTAAATTACGATTAATTCCAATGGTCGTTTTGTTCCAGGTACGGACATAGTGCAAGACCTTCCGGCACAGTTGACCTCGGAAGAAGAGGAACGGAGCTTGAAACGTAAGTTAGCCAAAGGACTTGGCGTCAACCATCAAAAAAACCGTGGATAGAGTATCCAATTCTCCGACCTAATCACTCGTCCTTTTCTAGACTTTGGGACTCTGTTGACGGGTAGAACGTCTCAAGCGCTGCGTCGCGACGAGCCCACCCCTACGTCCATGTACAACAGCGCCTACAACTATCTGGCGACGGGACGTTTCACTTTCCACCGAAAGAACCTCTACTACTCCTTCTATTTATCGACTGCGACACCTCGTCCACGGAGCATCCAGTTCGTGGACGGGTCGGGCAGCATCTTGGAAGAGCAGACCATCGACCCCATCGGTGGAGTCTATCAAAACGCTACGGGCAAGTTGTGCGGCGTATGGAGACGTGTACCTCGCGATTACAGAAAGCTCCTACGCGAAGAGCGTCTCCACGTATCGTTTATATGGGAACCATCGTCCACCTTGACGGGACAATTGTCCCGTTACCGTGCACTAGCCACGGAACAGTTCTCGTCGCTGCTGGAGCCAACGATGGGGGTGGATCGATCCCTGATGTCAGGCGCAGGGGCCACAGCCATCGTATCGGCATCGTCGGCGTCGGCACCCTCGATCCACGTCTCTCTAGTTTTCAACGGAGTTTTTCTACCCAACGACCTATCGGAAGTACCTCTGATAGTCCAGCTGGAGCACATGGAAAAGGATTACGTTGTGCTTCGCGAGGAGATTATAGTGAAGAAACCGTCGAACGAGCTAAACTTTGGCGAAGTTAGAAGCGCTTTATCCGGAGCCGACCTGCGATTGCTGACGCGCGGCAAGTTGTCCATCAGCATAATGTCGAGAAAAGATCCTCAGGCGTTGCGGTTGGCTGGGGTGGTCGGTCCGCGAGCTACTTGCGACATCTACCAAACGCTGCTCCTGTCGGAGACAGCCTCCGCGGCGTCTGGGCTTGCCTGGGCGTTCTTGGACCGCGCGGGTTCGCTTCGTTACGGCGTCCAGCTGATCGGCTTGGAAGAGGAGAATCCTTTGGTAACTCTGGTCGACGAGGGAGGCAAGCGTCGCACGGAGCTGGAGGATCTGACGCCATCGTTGGTAGATGGATTGGCCAATGGATCACTGGATCGTCCCGGTCCTCGGCTTCTCGAGCCTCTGTTCAACGGCGAGCTGTCGGTGGTCGCAGCTTCCCATTTGGGATCTGTGCTGCGAGGACGTCTGCTCCAGAGGCCCGTGGCGGACGCCAGAGACACCACTGCGCCCGTGTTGCTCAGAAGACCGTCGCTGGAACCCGTGTATCCAGGTCCAGTTGGACTGGTTTGGACGGCAGTGGACCTGGACTGTTCTCTGCACTACGAGCTCGAGATCGCTGGCTTTGCGCAAACGTCTAGCAGTCACGAGCTGCGAACCTTTCGTTTATACTTGGAGACGATGCCTCTGTTGGCCCAGGGGGCGCCAGTCGCCAGGAGGCTCCTGGAAGAATTCAACGGCTACGTTCTGGAAGGTTCGGTTACAGGCTTGTCACCCGTTGAGTTGTACAGAATCGAGTCGGGTATCGGGTTTCTCGAGGTGACGGACAAGCAGGCCGACAGAGTCCTGAAGGCACCGTTTAAGACCAGGGCGCCGCTCAGCTGTCTTCCGCATTACGCCGATAACGACGTGGCGTCGGTGGTCGCGTACAATCTCCAACCACCCCAGTCGGATATCGAAACGGGGGCCTGCTTTCACGAGACTAGGTTCTACGAGGAGGGCACGCAGTGGACGTCAGGGACGGACCCTTGTTCCATGTGTCATTGTCATCGAGGATTGGCCCAGTGCGACCCGGTGCCCTGTCCGGCGCTCACGTGTCCTCAGGGCAAGCAGCTCAAACCCCCCGTTGGACACTGTTGTCCCATTTGTTCAGGTATGCAATGCAGAGCTCAATTTGTTTGTCGTTTACGCTTGAGTGAATCGGTGGCGTTCCTCGTTTAAAACACTGGAAAATCTTGTACAAGGGCCGTTAACTCGTTAACCAAGTTTCACCCCGCATTTAGTTTACCCTCGTCTAAATCTGTGGATTACTGTCATCGCCGTTGGTTCTTAAAATTCTTGTTGCAACGTATAACGCGTGCCAAGACCGCAGGATTAATTATCCTTTCCGTTCGACGCGACGGTGTCGCTCGATAAACCCGGGCTGGGGAATTAAGGCAACTGCCTGCGGTTGATATTAAATCCGATTACCCGTGTCACGCTCCGTGAAAGTAATCGCATAGAATTAGCTACGCCTATCTACGGCCAGTTTCAATTACACGACTGTTTATCGGGAGTTACTTCGCGGCGTGTACTTACCTGTCCGTTTTCAGCTGCCATTCCGGCGTGCTGATCGTTTTTGCAGGTGCAATTCGAATAGGATAAAATCGATGCCTGTTATTGCGTTTCTCCACTCGAGGGAGAAAATGTGGTTGAAACGAGATCTCGATCGTTAGCCACCGAATGCGTGGTACTCGCGTGACTCACCAACGGACCAGAATCGGGACAGAAGCTTGCTTACGAATACTCGACGATATAACGATAACGCCGGCAACGATCCAACGGTTTCAATTACACTTTTTAACGTACATTTTTGCTCGCAACTTGTTCGTGTTTTTACACCATCCAATTCGTCGTCTAAAATTGCAGAAACGCGCGAAATTACACGTTTCGATGCTATTTTCGTTAGATGGCGCCAGAATGTAGCCGACGTTGAGGTTTCGGGGTCCCAAAGCGGTGTTTTATTTACAGGGGATGCCTGTTACAAAGTTATTTACGAACAAAAACAGAAACACGTTGGCAACGATACAATAGAACTTCATAAACTACAAACTTGAAAATTGAACCGTTGCCAACGTACAGCAGACACATTGTGAGCATTCTGTTTCAATTACCTGCGATGACGAAGAGTTAAGATGACGCGGTCGAGTCGGCAAACAGCGCGGTGGGGGTAGCGCCATCGATAACCTTGAGAGGTCAATTTATCCCGCGTCGAGTTCTCCGAAGACGCTACACTCGATCTATCGTTAGAAGCCGCGATTTCGTAATAATAAAATTACACCTTGCACCCAAGTTTCCGTGCAGCTCGACTCGCGGCATCCGTAAGACGGCACAGATTTGCACGAACGCGTCGAACGTATCCGCGTCTCTTCTAATCTTCCAGGAAATCGGATGGCAACGCACCGGGACGCGCGTTTATCTAAAATTAATTCTCTCGACTGACCGGACTGACGCACCGGTTTGGCAGGACGGCGACCCAAGGACAAGAGACGTCGCGTAAGCGCGAATAAACAACGCAATGGACAGCATAACCGGACGAACGGAACATGTCGGTGAGCGCGCGACGACCGACTCGGCCGATTTAATTAGATACAGTTAAACTTCAATGTATCGCCGGATAGGATCTGCAAGAAAATGACAGATCAGTGCCGGTTCGATACGCGATTCCGTTCGAGACGCGTTTTTCCAGACACGCACGCACGCGAGCGAGCGACCGGCCAATCGTGCCCGTGGCGATACGTCTCTATCATTTGAACACGTCGCGTGGAAACGGCGTCTGATTTGTCTGACCGATTAGTCGACTGGGAAACGAGATCTGTAAAAGGAACGCCGCGAACGAAACGAACCGACCGATTTACGATTCCCCCCGTCGAGCTTCGTGTACAGGATGAATCACGCGACAGAGATGTCTCTTGTTCTTTTTTTTTCTTTTTCTTTTTCTTTTTTTTCTTGCTGAGAATGAACAAGGTTGATCGCTTCGAGAAGATTCAATCCGCGCGTGATCGCATTTTTCTGGGAGCTCCGATTGCTTCTAGTGCTTCCCATCAGCTACTGCACCGACACGTCAAAACTTGTTTGGTAATGAACTGTGTTATTAAAAATGTCGTGTAATCTGTGTACCCAGGTCCTGGCATCAACATGAACGGAACGGGGAAGAACGTCAGCTCGATAACGAGGGGTTGCACCCTGGCTGGTCAATTCCATCTGGCTGGAGCGTCCTGGCATCCCTACTTACCTCCAGTAGGATTCGACACTTGCGCGGTCTGCACTTGCGACGTAAGTACCAACAAATTTTCCCCTAACCCAGACCTAACCGAATGCTTCACGTATGTATCTGCAGATTCTTTGTTTATCCCCATACGTTCGTTGTCAGTTTCGTAACGACCTGTATATGAAAAATGAAAAATTCAACCAGACACCGTTGCGCCAGAAGAATGCAGTTGCTCTCCGTCTTGACACTAGGGAGCACAGTCGATCGGCAATCGGTGACAGGCCTTTCTAAACAGATATCGGTAAATTGTTCCAAGTCGTGCTTGAAACGCGTTACACAAAGTTGCGTTCGTTATCGGAGATAAGCCGTTCGAGCCGTTCGATCAGGCCTCTTCGCGTATTCCTCTCCATTTGAAACCCAACCACGGGAAAACACGTTTAAATACGTAGATAAATTACCCTCGAACGTACAGGGTGTCCTACGTAACACAATAAGACAACACAGATTCAACAAAACGCCAATAAAATCACAAGTGTATATTCGTAATGATATTACGTTGATAGAATTTACATTTATCCAAAAACAACTCGCGCACACGTTAAGAAAGCTCAAGCTGGTTCCCATTTATCTTGCAGACGGTCACGCTGGAGGTGAAGTGTCCACGAGTGCAGTGCCCGCCATTGGACTGCGACGAGAAGCTCGCCTTCAGACCGAGCAAGAAAGCCTGCTGCAGACAATGTCCCGCGACGACGCCCAGCACCTTGAACGCCGCCGTCGCCGGCGACACGACGCGCTTGCCGCGGGACCAGGCGGCGCCCTCTACGAAGCGCACCGCCGAAGAGATCCTGGCTTCCGGCGGTTGCAGGAATCCACTCGGTGGCCCCTACGAAAACGGGATGGAGTGGCATCCACGCGTCCACTCGCACGGCGAGATGAAATGCGTAAAGTGCAGGTGCAAGGTGAGAACCACTGACGTTTTACGTTTAGAAACGGGATTAACCTCGTCGTTATACTCACCGTCGGATTCCGGTATATTTATTTTATTTGATCTGCCGACGAACGATTCCGTCATTCGAAATACGAGTAGAGGTGAAATTCGTCGGAGCCAAGTACACGCTACGCACCTATGATAGTATTAGCAGAGTCATTTGCTGCGTTATAGTCTGCTGCAACGTTGCGGTCGAGTCGAGTTGTCAGGTTTTATTAACGTGACTCGCAGAAATTGAAAGTGTACTCGTAGGATGACTGGTGTTACTTCGCGCAAGTGAATCCTGAGATTCCAAGCCAAGTTAGTACTAGACCTTCGACGCACGAATCCCTGCAGCAGAGTTGGCGCTACTTTGTACAACCTATGAGTTAAGGTAGCGGAGATATTGCAGCAATGAGCGTATCGAATATACTTTGCGGTCACGGGCAAATTTATACGACTCGGAGAAGATACACCGTGCGTTAGGTATAATATAAAGAAAAGGTGCGAATTCTTGTTTCCCCCCATCGCAATGTCAGAAATAGTAGCGCAAATTACAGTCGAGCGTGGCGTACCTTTGAAAGTGTCAGGGTGATGTACAACGATGTTCTTACACCGCGCGGGTTGCAACAAATAGCGGAGATTAGCGTCGTTTGTAATTGTAGGACTGGGATAGGTCGCACTAGCGAAAGGAAACAGGGAAAATATACGGGACAATTTGTTATTATTATTGGTATTATTAGGTAAACGTGTAGCGTCGTACGAAGGATATCCTTGCGAGGAGATACAGCCAGGGATTGCTTCGCAACCTAGACTTCTATTTATTTGCCAAGTTTCGTAAAAACTTGTGGATCCGAGGATCGTGGATTCAAATCTCCGTGTCTTATTTTTCGTTTAGACTCCCTACACCATCGACGAAAGAGACGTCTAAAGCGAGCGACCGAAATCGACCGCCAACTTCGAGCCGCGCTAATGGATCGCTTCTGGCGCTGCTTAGACACAAAGCGGCTTTCATTGGCCGCGGTACCGTTGAGAACTAGTAGCGCGAGATTGTCACGGTACTCTACTCGGCAAGCGCGACAATTTCCGGTTTACACGATCGTTCTTAACCCCCTCGTCGCGTCGGTCGCATTCCACTCGTGCCTGAAGTTACCGGCCGACACGATCCAGAAGACACACGTCTTCACTAACTCCGCCAACTATTTCTTATTAGAACGAACCGCGAACTACGATTGACAAGTAGTGACAGCTGTCAGAGTATTCCAGAAAATAGTTTAAACTTGAATTAAAGGGGATGTCCGAATGCGCAAGTTCGATATTAGGAACATCGATTTATCGTCGAGGTGGTGATGTAACCTCTCGAGGGCAAACAGTCTTCGTGGAAGATCTGCCTACGAGGATGGCACAAAGGATCGTCGCTTTTATAGCGTTCCGTAAGACGGAGCAACCTGACTCGTTAAGCGACTCGAGTTGACGGGGCTCGTTAACTCGACATATCCCATGACCTTGGACGACCTTTGCACCAGGCTTGTAGAACACGTTCGAACAAGTGTCGTCCCACCGAGGCTTTAGAAAGGACACGCGAACCCACTCGAAGAAAAAGAATAAAAATCAAATAAAACGAATGCGGCGCCCCTGAAATTTCCTGTATGCGCCCATTCACAAGAAAGCCGTCTCCGGCGCGGCGCGCGGCATCCAACGACACTCTTTACGTCGAACGACTTTTGCCTGGTTGAACCGGTTTTTCACATTGTTTAAAAGGACAGTAATATTTCTAGTGGACACCGGTTATCGCGACGCTATCTACACTCGGTTGCATATTCTAGCCAGCTTCGCTGATTGCCGACTTTTAATTTTTAGGTCAGACACCGCGACTAGACGTTCAACTTTCAGCGTTATTCGACAGGCTTCTTCGAACGGTGTCCCCGCGGAGTCGTAAACAGTTAGAAAAACGCAGGATATACAGGGCCGTCTTAGCTTCGAACGAACTCGCCGTGACCAACGAGAATCGTCAGGTGTACGTACTCGTACGAGTCCCTTTTCGTACCGAGCGACGTTTTATCAGTTCAGGTTATCGGCTGTAGTTTAGAGGGCAAGAAAGTCCTCGGGGCGTTTTCGTTGGCGGTTTCATTATTATGCGAAGGTCTCTGGCGAAAAAACAGTCGCGGCTCGCTTTATTTTTGCTCGTTGGCCACATACTCGTTAGAATCACGCTCGGAACAGCCTCGCTACGTTGCCTGGACACGGCCACGCCGTGAGACCTTTAAGGAGAAAACCTTTAACCGGACTCGTTCGCCCGGATCGACCATTAAAAGGGACCATCCATTACGATGAAAATGGAACGCGGCCACGGATCGCATTACGCCTAAGAAAAAGGATCGTTTCGAGTCCTCGAGATCTCGATCTCGGCTCGCAATCGGTTCTCTCTCGTGTCGAGCTCGTACAGTTAGGAGAATGAAAAATCTGGCATAGGTGGACTGATCTTTATTTCGACAAGTGTATAGAATATATTTGAAAATTGAAATATCTGTCATCGAGTCATCGATACGACGCAAGATCTAAAGCGAGCCTTGATCCTGGATTTTGTTTGCAGAATGGCGAGGTCAGGTGCGACAGAAAACGGTGTCCACGGGCGCTCTGCAACTCCATCGTCCATCAGATGAAGCGCGGCGATTACATGGCGGACGCGGACGACTGTTGCACGGTGCAGTGCCGTCGAGCGAGGCGTCATCATCGCAACAATCATCATCCGGGACGGCATTCCGTGACGCCGCGCGAGCTCAGCTGAGTACGGCCCAACGGACGAGCCTCCTCTCCGAACTCTCCTGGTTCACGTGAAAACACGCTTCTGAGCCTTGTTTCGTAGTCGTCGAATTCGCAATCAGCTATTGCTCGTCGTAGTCGTCGTCAGAACACCGAGCCAAGCGACGGACGAACCGTGGAATCATACGGGGCACAAGAACGCAGCTATAAAATTGCTGCTCAGCAAGTGAAAGAATTGACTTGGCTGACGGAACAAGTTCCAGAAAATAATGGACTTAGCCAGAGGTAGAGGTTCCGAAGAAGATTCTACTTGGTTAAGGGAAGAGGTTCCAAATCTCGCTCTTTCAGCCGCGTTGGAGGTATGTCGTTTTTGTAGCCCTTATCACCTACCTCGTGGCTTTTTAACCGTTTTACCACGCGTTAAAGTTTAAGTCTTGAACGCGGCAATGGGAAAAATTTCCCAAGTCGTTTCTTTCACTTGCCAGATCTTCGAAAACTCACGAGCGAGAAAAGAAAGATACGCTGATTCCAGAGTCTACGAATGATCGGGTAATATGGGTGTCCCAGTTCTGAATCTGGTAGAACGTTTCCTAAAGCACGAAGCGCGCGCCATCTGTGATACGCCGAGCGAATCGAATAACGGAGAGTGGTACGCGTGGTCGAGAAAGTTTGGAAACCCTCTGACGTAGAGACGAACAGTATTCGAGTATCGTTCCAAGTACGATTTCAAAATATCGAGGCCGTTTTTTCACGCAAGTTCAGCGTTATTCTTTGATCGAAATATAGATTAAAATTGTTGCGATAGAGGGTTGAGTATGTCCCTATTTTGGTCCACCGACTATGATCAACGAAAGAGAAAGATTCGTCGCGATGATGGCGCGCGCAGGAAGCCATAAACGATAACAATAAGAATAATATGAGTTAGAGGAAGAGAAGATCGTTCGTCGGATGCTATTCTTATATTCCCGTCGCTTGGTCAGTTGTTCGTTCTAATGTCTGCGGCACCCACAAACCGCGGGACCAGACGTTTATTAATCAATTGGCTCTCATCAACGGTTAAACGGACCGGAAGCCAACCACCGCTCTCTATCTCGAGTGACCTGACACGGTGCGAGACGGCTATTCGGGGCAGAGATGGGGCAGAACCATAATTACTACTTGGTTGAAAATTAAAACGTGAAAATCGTTGATGGTTGAAAAAGGTTAACGATTAAAGGACGATAAGGCTTGAATTTGTATAGATTTAAAATTTATTTTTTTTTTTTTTTTTTTTTTTTACCAAACGACGATTCGTACGCTTATTTATTCGTAAAGTTCGTTCTAGCAAACAGTTGATTCGAATTATAACTTGAACGTTACTTTTTTATTGGTTATACGAAATTTTTTTTATCTAGATAAAAATTTTGCCCACCTCTGGTTCGTGGAACGGGGAAAAGAAATCGTTGGAGGGGGAAAATGCGCGGGATGAGAGTCGACCAACCCTGAGAGGGATTGGGGGGAGGACAGGAGTTTAGTCGTGTCGATAAACGCAAAGCGTACGTACCCTACCGTACCCACCAACCTCACCAAGTTACCCAGCAACCAAAGAAGACTGAACAACCTCCGATGGTGGCATCAGTTATCATTTGCGCGAATGCTAACGTTTACTATTAAACTCCAACTTATAATTATCCTGATTATTGCGAGTAATTGGATAAGGTTAACGTCACAGACATTATTAATCGTTAATTTACTATCATTCTCGTTGGTCCATTGTTTGTCATCGTCGCCAATCATCGTTATATCATTGTCATTGTCGTTATCATCGTATCTATGATTATTGATAATGTTTCTATTACTATCTTGAATAGTATAAATGTTAGTGCTACTATTGTCGTCGCTATTATCGATACATTGTTAATGGAATCGTCGCGATTGTTATTGTTAATTAGTCCTGCGAACGAGCATAACACCTTGAAACGGTGGTGTATTCGCGTCAACAAACGTTTTTTTCTCTCTTTTTCTGTTGCCAAGGGAACGACTCTGTTGCATCTTCGTAACTCTTAGAAGAGGAGGAGAGAGAGAGAGAGAGAGAGAGAGAGAGAGAGGAGGCACTCTTCTTTTTTTTTTTTTTTTTTTAATTTATAGACGTATTTATTGTCAGGTTCTTTAAGTTATTCGATAAAAAACTGGAATTGCGAAATGGCGTAGCAAGCAAATCTCAGGCACTGTGCTAAAATTTACGGTAAGGCACTTTCACAGGAAATGTAATCTTACCTTATAAATGATATTAAACGACACCTTTACATTTTAAAAGAAATGTAACCGAAGAAAACTTGTAAAGCAATATCTATTTTTAGACGAAACAAAATATTCTTGTAAGGTATTTCGTCCCTGTTGGACGATTACAGGGCTTCCCCGAATCTGCTATTTATTACACAACCAATCAGAAATTGACTGGTAACATATTTAAGACTTTTTTTCGTTAAATATTCCGAGTATTCTAACATTGTTAGCTACGTCACCGTGCGTCAATGTTGCAAGCAACTTCAGAGGTCGAAACAAAATATGCACTAAATTAATAAGTTAATGCTGATAGTCGCTATCGTTGCGTATGCATCCATAATGCACCACTGGTGCGCGTGTTTGTGTATGTTAAGTGTGCATCAGGTTTTTTATGCGTATGCGAATCGACGTGAGCGAAACGAGTACATGTAGTAGAATTTTTATAAAGCGCGAAGAACTTTGACGTAGACGAAATAGAGGCGATAAGAAAGAAGAGTATTTTAGCGTTTGTAATTATTGTATTTCTCGTGATTTCGTTTAATTTAGCCAGGCTTGACGGCTCACACTATCTCAGAAAACATTCGCGGATTGGTATATCTTCAGTTTTTCGTGAGCGCTGTTTTTTCGAATTTGAGTACTTTGTATTTGTCAACGTCTTGTAAACGGAAAAGTCAACGAGGTTAAATGTTTTCGAATACAGTATTCCTTGCCCATTTTTTATTATAATCGCGGATTTTGATTTGACGTGTGTCACTTTGTTTCTCGATCTCTCGATTATAATACTGTATTCGATGCAGTTCACGGCTTGCAGCACGATCAAGTGTCTCGCGGCTATATATCTCTCTGTGCATTTCTTTATTATCTAGTCTAAAAATTCCGAGTATCTTTTCGGGCAATCTTGAGGGAAAATATCGGGGATCCGATCAGCGATGAAAGACGAGAAGGAAAAGGGGATATTACGCGTAGCTGCGGCAGCTGGCAGGCCTGGTTGCTTTTAATCGTTTCTGATACAGTACTTTTTTCGATAAAGTGTATCGCGTAGCATCTCAATTCTTTCTCTGTTAAATACACTTCGAGTCGGCGAAAGTAAATAGTCTTAGAATATTCTGCAACGAGAAATATAAATAGGAATTGAAGCGTGGTCGAATGTTTCGAAAATGTAACGTAGATCTGTAGTTTCTTAAGAATCCATCTTGAATGAAACCAGACACTAGTAAGCGAAACGAGTCGAGAAGTGAAGCAGGGAACAGTTGGGGTTTTGCTACGTGTCACACGATGCCATCCTTTGCGTCGCACAACGTCACGTCTGGGCAATAATGTACTCCGATCCCGGGGCATACACACGTTTCTTCACGGGAGGCGTTGATTCGCTGTTTGCCGTTTATGCCTTTAAAAATCGTGTGCGTACTCTTAGTCAACGCTATTAGAGGTTAGTTATTCGCGTAGTGGCCTTAAACACGATTTTATTGCCAACGTTTTGTACATAAACGCATGTAATACGTAACGGGAATCACGACTACTATTAATGGATTATCAATATTGCGATTATTATTATTATTATTTTTATTTTTATTATTATGAGTAGTATTTATATATAATTATACTGGATCTTTGAGCGTCGTCAAAGCCGCAGCTTCGACGGTGCTCGTCATCATTAATATTATTCTATTTTATTATTATTACTATTATCATAATATTATTATTATTATTATTATTATTATTATCGACATTATATATAAATATTATATTCACGGTTATTTAACACTTGGCCATCAGACGACAACGTGGAAATTGTTATATTATTGAACTTTTAGTTTGGAAACTTCAAAGAATTCGTCGCATACAGTGTATACATAATTTAAATATAAATATAAATTAGCGTAATTGAACGCCAATATTAACACTTCAATGACCGTTGATGTAATAATATGTTTGTTCATGTAGGAAGCTGGAAAAACGACCCTTAGGTTAATTTTTGGCTAAAACGAATGCTAAAGTGTTAATTAATGTTCATCGCTGATATTGTAAATATGTATTCGTATTTTGTACAGAATCACCGAGAAATATTTTTAAAAAATTTGTAGCAAAACATATCTCGTGGCAGGTTTTTCAAAAATATCTTCTTTCACGCCTCTCTGCTGGCTAAGTGTTAAAAGTCATCCTCCTAAATATGCGCATGTTATATCCATCTCGACGGAGAAGCGCTAACATCGCCGTTGAGAGATATTGTATTGTCCTGAAATGCATTACGCTCGCGTTATTTTTCTTACTCCACTAACTCGCCCGAAACGACGTTACTGAAATCACGTAAATATAAACGGTGCAAATATTAAAATAACGATTGTTGCTACATGCGTCGTATGTATTCGCTCGATACGAGGTTAAAATGATATAATAAGCGAAATATCGATTGTGCCTTGTTAATCGTGACATGTCGGTTAATCCAACGTTGGTAATGCGTTTAACGTCAATTGTAAATGCACATGTCACAGTCGAAGTGAATTGTACAGCGATTCTAACCTATTAATAGCGAGTCTACACTCTCACTGAAGTTATCGGTGACTCCGAAAGAAATCGTTTATTAGATAGCAATAAATCCACATTTACCAGCGACTGTATTACCTCTCTAGCATCGATGTCTTCCGAGAGAAGCGACAAGTTACATTAGGTGATTAACTATCGACTAATAATGTTTCATGTACAACACGAGACAAGTCTTAAATTTTATATATGTTGAACAAGAATGGATATAGTACGGGGGACACTACGTCTGGTTCCGTACAATGCCAAAACGATTGTCAATTAAATCATAATTAATGATTAATTCGCTGGTACCGTCGTTACTTCAATTTACTTGTGGTAACCGCATTACACGTATGGTTGGGATATGTGTCTTATCATTCGTTGGATATATCAAGCGAGGTAGGGGGGAGAGAGAATGAGGGAATCGAAAGAATGAGAACGAAAGTGAGACTAATCAATTGTTGATATTGCTAATTAATGTAATAAATCGTATAATTGAACGTAAAACGAATAATTATATATTAGAAATAATTGTATGCCGATTTCAGTATTTCCATTAATAAACAGAGATACACTCGACTGAGTCTCGTTTGTGTGACCGGTTTATTGATTGGAACACGCGACTATCAACGATTTTCGCGCATTACGCATTATTTTTCAAATGTTGGCATCGGTTTACGCCTGGCGTTCCGCAACTCGTATCGCTTTGGTGAAAATGATGCTTACTGTGGTTGCACGCGATGTGTCAAAGAAAATTCGCAAAGTAGCTTTTGTTTGAACCATTCGAATCTTTCATGCAAAAATGATTACTGTGGTCAAACAAACGGTATGCTACTTATACATAAATGTGTTATAACCTAAAAAAAAAAAAGATAAGGAGTAAATGATCCGACTAGACATTTTCCTATTCAAACATTATTGGTTAAAATAAGTCTCGTAGATTACGTACAAGTAAAGCATACTACATGTTTGACCAGAAATCGCCATTCAATTATTCAACTTATTCGAAAACCCAAGTACAATGGAGTAATAACAATCATTCGGAATATTCAATTTATCGTTCAACGATCTCTGTAAACGATGGACATGCGGGATCAAAACTTTGGTTATGGCTAAATAATGCTTGCTGAATTTCTTTTTTATAGTTTGAATCGTAAAGCATGTTGCAGCCCTTCGTCGATAGCACGTAAAACGAGGTCAACTGTTTTAGATGTTGCGTTGCTTCCTAACAAACCTATTCGCAACGCTTTGTCCGTGCTGGGTCCTAGACCTCTGCCGATTTCGACTTTGTACCTGAAAATTGAAAGAAGGTACATTGTAATAGAGATCAAGTTGAGGTCTTGGAAGGTTCGTATTTTCATGTAACAAATTCTACGCCTAATGCATAGGGTCTACAGTACGCGTGGAAATGCGGCTTACTTGTCCATGGCTCGTTGTACGACGATTTTGTCGTCGACGCCAGGTGGCAGCTCTATAACGGTTATCGTGGATAATTGATACCGTGGAATTTTCACGTTGTTCCGAAGCCCCCGTAATTCGAGACCCTTTCTTAATTTGTCAGCTGCAGCGGCGTATCTGGACCAAATTGCTGGAAGACCCTCTTCGGCGACTTCCGCCAAAGCCTCGCGTAAACCGTACAGCAGAGTGGCGCTTACCGTGTGATGGTACACGCTTTCTTCGTTTCCAAAACATTTCCAGTAGACGCCGAGGATGCTTATGTCCCAATAGTAGGAGACCGGTCTCGTCACTCTCCCGAACATTTTCTCTCTGTTATAAAAGAAGAAGAAAAAAGGTGTAAGGAGATCGCGATGAAATTGCAGGAAGCATTCGCCGACTCCGTCATGGGCGTGGAAAGAAAATTAATGGTAAGGACTTGGTCGTAATAACGTGAAATCAATAATAATAATAGGGAATTTGCGATAACAAGCGTGCAAAAACGTAATTGAAGACAGCACGATTTGAAAGTAAACTGTACGCATTAGTAATCATAATTGCGCTGGATGACATTGCATAACAATGGGAAATTGATGACATGATGAGGTGATAATCGTTTCGCGTAAATACATGTAAACGGGGATTAGATACAATGGTTACGTAATTATGATGGTGTGTAATCGTTATGGGTGAATTGAACACAACTATCGTCATGTTGGCGTTGGCCATTTTATTGGCGTGAATAGATGAATTAATAAATTATTTAACTAATTGTTGCTCTCGAGACGTACACTCTCTCTTATTTTATATGAATTTTCAAGTTTCATAGAAATTCTATCGGCACGAAAATGATTTAGGGAAAGTGGTAGTTAACTTGAAAGCCGCTAGAGTGTCATCGAATAAGAATTCATCGACCGGGGTCACGTTATGATTCACGTAGCATTCAATGGGCCTCGAGTCACCGCTATGACCTCACGAATTCGATTGGTATTCCATGTAGATGACTTAGAATCTCGATTCACGGCCCATTTTCTTTGGTTGTGTGTTGTGGTTAAAAAAAAAAAAAGAGAGAAGAGGCTGTGAGGTTGTCGATTACGTACTCTGCCCGCGGACCGAAAGAAACAGGAGCGAGTCCTGCGGGGGCGCCGAGGGCCTTTTGGCTGCCGGCATAAGCTGCATCGATGCCCCAAGAATCCATAAAGAATGGCTCGCCGCCGAGTGATGCAACCGCGTCGACGATCAAAAGGGCATTGTACCTAAGACAAGTTTCCTTTTGGTTGGTGAAATTTTATTTTCGAGTGATCGGTTTTTCAAATAAAAAAAAAAGCTTTACGTACGATAGACGGTAATTAATCTTCTTTTGATTTTTAATAAGCTAAACTATCGAAGCAACAAAAAAAACAGAACTCATACCTGTGAACAAGCTCTCCGAAACCTTCCAATGGCTGTTTCACGCCTGTAGACGATTCAGCGTGGACCATAAAAACCACCACGGGTCTGTATCTCTCCAAGGCGGCTTCCAATTCGTTCAACGTAACAGCCTCGTTTTGATTTGGTATTATCAATTGAACCTGCAATTTAAAGTTCGTAATTCTCAGAAATTAAACTATGATATACGGATTTTTTGCAAAATTCTACCACTTACGCGTGCCCCGAGTCGTCTAGAAATGTCAGCGGCGCGTTCACCCCAGATTCCAATTTGGACAACGACTATAGTGTCATTGGGTTCGAGTAAATTTACTAAGCACGCTTCCATACCGCCATGACCTGAACCACTCAATACCAAAGTGAGTCTGTTTTTAGTTTGGAATACGTATTGGAGACCAGCTTTAATTTCATCTATCAACTAAATATAAAACAAGAATATATTTATATATCAGGCACAGAAATAATAATCACTCCACATTTATCCGGAAATGTAACTTTTCATGTAGAATTAAAGCGAACCGATTACCTGACCAACTTCGAGGGTAAGATTACCGAGAACTTGATTCTGTAAGCTCTGAAGAACTCGCATCGAGCAATTAGTTGGTCCCGGACCCGTTAACGTTTTTACCGGTAACTGCAGTTTAGCTTTCAGCTCCTTGGGTGGTAGCTTCCGAACAGCTAACTGGTCCCATTCGCAACTCATCGTCCCTTTTTTATTTTCTTACCTGAGACGAAAGAAAATTTTATAATCGCAAAAAATTTCAAAAAATTTTTTCCTCCGAAAAATACACCAGAGACAATTGAATTTCACGCAGAAAAGTTGAACCATTACCGTTGCTTTAACTTGCGTAAACTTGTCACTCACATACCTAAGGTTGCACTGCACGGTTGTCCGAAGTTGGTATTATCATCAAATGATTCTGTCTTGACAATTAGCATGCGCTATTGCGCATAAATTACGCGCAATTAAATCCACGTAGATCAAAGTACTTTTTCTTATTATAATTTTTACTGTAATCGTAGTATAATTCGATTTGTTATTTTATTTTTTCTAAAAACTGTCGAACGTCGAGTTAGTTACCAAGGAATTTCATCGCCGTATGAAAGATGAACAAAGTGGTAAAACGTTATTAATTTGTGGAGAGAACGAGAGCACAAAGAAATCTCTTTATTGAAAGATCGAAATAGCTTGATAAGTCGTTGCGTCCTGATAACCTTCTGGACCCTCTCGACTTACGTAAACGTGGAAAAAGCCTATAACTACCGACGAGTATAGAAAATACATGAATAAACGTAGACTATCTAAAGGGGACAGAAGTTTGTCTCGGCGATAGAATAATTAGAAGCACCGTTGTATTTGCAATTTTTCTATTCGACGATTACCATACAATTTGTTCGCGGTTTAATTTATGCGAAATGCGTAAGCGTGGGTAAAAAGTGATCTATGCGGTTCTTGTTTCTGGCAAGAACAAATTCTTTGACGCTTGTATAACGAGTCTAGAATCTCCTAACGGGTCATTAATATTGCATTCCCTTCGCTACAATGAAAATAGAGTCCACGGTGAATAGCAGAGATGAACGAGGGATTTATATAGCGACAAACAACATCGGAGATTTTCTGTCGGCTCAAAAGCAAACCGACGAAAATGCAGATTCAGAGGGTCAAGTTCGGTTGCTCGACATCATCTGCCCCTCCCCCCCCCCCTCTAGCGCCATCCACCTAGCTCCCAACTCTTTCTTTCCCCACTCTCCCCACTTCGCCACCACTCGTCGTACCATCTCCCTCGCTCTTCGCGCAGCTACTCGGTTCGTCCTCCCTCCCTTTCTCTCGCTCATCGCTTTTAGTCTCTCAACGGGGGCCACCGGGCAATGTTGAACTGCTAATAGTAAATACCGTCCCCAACGACGGTGAAATTGCCCGAAATGACTGGCAAGGTCGAGGAGAAACGAAACGAAGTGGTAAGAAGGGAGTACACAATAAATTTCCACCGGTACTTCAGAGCCCTGATAGGTTTCTTTGGCTCGTGAACGACCGAAGACTGGCTTAATTGTGTGTTCTCGCGCGCGCGCGCGCGCTACCATAAGTTAGCAGCGTGTTGGCGATGGGTTCGGGCTCGGTGGTAAAGGTCCGTTTTCACGCGACAAACTAACGCGCAACTATCAACTTCGTGACATTCGATCATTATTTTGCGATGTATCATTTTGTGGGTAGACAATTTTTTTTGAAACGTCGAGAACATTCACGTGACGTCATTGAGCTTTACCGATGAATGTCAAGATACAAAGCTGACATATATATATATATATATATGTACAAGCTCTCGATGGACGAAGTACTAATAATCAGCTTTGTATCTTGACGTTCATATATATATATACTAGATATATATTACAAGTCCTCGTTTAATCCGTAAACTTCGTGATTTCGTGCCATGTGAAAACGGACCTTAACAGGACTACGACATTCATACACGAATGAGAGATCGTGCGTGACTGGTCGGCGCGGTCAGTTTACAGAGCAAAGTGTGCGTGTTCCCTAACCTGCTTGTACGTATTGGTCTCGTGGCTATGCGAATGTGTGGGTATATGTTCGGGCGTGCACGTGCTCTCCGTCTGTGTTTGTGTGCATATGCCTGTGTGCCACGCTCCCGAGCCAGGAGAGACAAACGAAACAATGGAACGTCGTCTCCGGCTCGAGTAGCGAGGCGAGCGGGCGGATCGTACTCGCTTGGCTCGCTCGTTCGTCTCCTCAGACTGAGATTACTTTTGTATAATCCCTGAATCGGTAAATAATTCCTGGGATCGACCGGTAATCGGAAACATCGGAGTTAATCGTGTCAGTTATTCCTGCTGTCTAGATTTTCAGTTTATTTCTGTAAAACTTGGATAATATTTTCATTCAAGTATCAGTTACGTTGAAAGGGGTTAATCGTTAACTGTGACCAGCGATTGTTCAGTAATCATAATTCATGAATTATAATAATTGGCCGACGACAGTGGTCCGCGGTGTGCTCGAACGTGCACGGGGGATTTCCGAAGACAGTTTTCAGGCTCCCGGCTTCGAGAACCGCTTGCTCGTGACTGCCCCCTGGCGTACTTGTTTCTCAGTAGAGGCCGGGCCGCGACCAAGGAGGAACGCTTTGTGCGTGGGACTGGAAAAAGGGAGATTCAAGAAACGTTGGACCGCGAGTTAGCGCCCCGTGCACGTTTGTCGACGCGAGTGCGCGTGCCTTCTGTGTGTTTTCCAACGATTCTTTTGCGCGACGATCTTTCGACAAAGGATGCTTGGTTTTTGATACTTTGAACGCGCGTGCGAGAATCTTTGATCGATATTGGATCACCGTCTCCTAGGCAACGTGCAACCTTTTCGTTCTTGTGTAAGTTTCTGCGTCTGTCTGTGTACACTGCTGTAGGAACTAGAAATCTGCATTTATCTCACGTTAATAGCGTTTAATGGGTCCTACTTTGTTTGTCAGTTGGTAAAATTTTCTTGTCATATTTCTCGTGCGTGAAAGACAAGATTGGATAACCTGTGTTTCATGTACGTTTCAAACAAATTCGGTTTACTCGAACGATTCTGTCGTTTTAGTACTTTTAATTGCAATTCAAGTTGTTGGCGTGTTAGCACTTTCGCAAAGACTGACCACGGACAATTTTTTTATGCACTTTTCTTTGAGTTCCATAGGCCTCACACCCTATACCTGGACAACGCAAAGCGTTGAAAACCTGAAAACTTTACGTACAGCTTTATCTTTGATGATAATTCGAGTTATCGACAGCTTGATTACATTTATTTTTCTTTGCATAATTACGCGGGTTGCGAATAAATTTGTTTGATTGATATCTGGAATTGTGGTTTCAGGTGGACACGCGCGACGGCGTGAGTGTGCGGCATTACAAGTATGTTTACCGACCGGGGACGTTGATTTTCGTGCGAAATCGGTATCAGTCGTCGATCCTCGACCCACGAAGACGATTCGTGAGACGCGTAGCGCGTGGATCGGGCCCAGCAGTAGCAATCATCGTTGAGCGGTTGTCATCGGTGGTCGATGCGTTCCCGTGGATCGGGAGGTCGTCTTATACTCGACACGGCCGATTATCGATCCGCGACGAATAAGTGAATCGAGTGTTGCCGAGAGTGTTCTGTGGTTAAGAAATCCGGTGCGGGCGACGCGTCTTCCCCTCGGTTGGTGTTGGTCGCCTCTTTCGTGCTTGCTCCTTTCTTCTTGCATTCCCTTCGATCGACCTGTCCCTTTCTTCGCTTCGCGATCCTCTCTGTCCGTGTTTCTCTTTCCCCTTTGCTCTCTGTTTCTTTCCTTTCTTTGCTCCATTCCTCGGTCGACCGGTCTCTCAAAGGGGGCGTGCTTGGCCACATTCAACAATGAGCGAACGCAAAACTATCTAAGCACGAGGCGCGAACCAATGGTTCCTGGTGTTTTCTGGCTGTGTGTGGCCCGCGATCTTCGGACCCGCCAAGTGTTTACACCACGACGCGAGTTACACCGCTCGCCCAAGGTAAGCGTACCGATGTTATTAACGTTGCTGCTTTATTTCGTTCCGTTCCAAACATGAGCATAACTCTTATTCGGATAAAACTTTCCAACCAACAGTCAGAGATTCGTTATTTCGACAGAATTGCTTATACCGGTTACGAATAAATTCTATACAGCTTCCATTCGTTATCCGTTAATTTAAAATTCTAGCCATCTCTGAAGTGAATTTTTGCGATTGGTTCCCAACGGATTGCGATACGCATCGCCGTCTATCGAGCGAAGCGTCGATTTCAATTAACTTTTTAAACGAGTAGTTCGACGAACGAATGGAAACAGTAGAAGGGAGGGAGGTACGCTTAACTCGGTACAAAACAATTAACCGTCTAACGTTTTTCCTTCTTCGTTGACCTCCGAGCGCGTTGAGGGAATACACAGAGACAGAGAATGTTCGAAATTTCGCCGGGATTGAGTTTCCTAATCCGTCGCGCGTTTGCAGTCTGGTTTCGCTACGCCGGCTTTGATTCATAATCGTCGAGTCAATAGGTATCGCGTTCCCATTTCGAAATACCATTGCCTCCTGCGATAGATCGTGAGAAAAGTTACCGGCTACGGGCATACCAGTCTTTCTATAATCTATACTGAAAATCGTCCATCACTCTCGATTATTCTAACGCATTGATCAATACGCGACACAGAACAGTAGGATTCGATCTTTATTGTGAAACACGTACGCGTTATCGCAACGTACTTTCTCATTTACATAACTAAATTGTGGATCATTATGCGTTTTATGACAAATGAAAATATATGGAATTCTATGAAAATGTCAATCTACAATAACGTACATGGTACGTTACTTGGAAGACGAGATCAACTTTTATGAAAGCTTAAACTTTTTTTCTGTATCTGTGAAAATATGAATTTGCATAAACTATACGTAACCGATAGAGGCGTTGCTCCTTGCGTATCGATAGCGATCTATTCTTCTTAGAAAGATAGGCGAAGTCGTCTACGGACTATAATTTTCTAGTTTTTTCCTATTCGTTCTGAAAATAATCCAGGCTAATAATTGGTCGAATAGCGACGAATAATTGAGCACCAGGCACGTGCTTTGAAAGTCAGACTTAGCAAATTGGACACGCTTTAAGACTCGACCAAGTCCCTTTCCGCTTGAATCGGGATGAAACGGAATAGACCCGACGTAAGAGGCTTTTCACACAGAGATTAGAGAGTCGTGTTTTCATCCTCTCGAGGAGGTCGGTACTAGGCTTAGGATGGTTCCTGTATGTTGTTGGTATTGGAATGCTGCGTAGAAACTTTGAATACGTATATTAATTAATATATTCAAAAATATTCGATACTCGCATAGGATAGTTCGATATTGGAATTGTATCGGAATAGCTGAAATATCTGTATAATTTACTTGAACGAGCGTGGTAGGTTTAGCGTTAAGTTTGTCGTGCGGAGGGTATCAACGCCATCGGCCCTTGTTCCTATAGTTTCGGCAGTTGTTGGATCGCATCCAAAAATACCCGTCGTCCGCTGAAAATATATGTGTATGTATATTCGTGGCGCGAGACAGGACATACCGGAAACAATATCTCAGTTCGAAGAACCTTGTGTTCCCGATCGTGGCGGGTAATGCACGACTCTGTAACGTTGGCCTGCTGATATTGACACATTTGCAAGGTATGTCGATTAGATTAAAAATTAAACATTTTTACACGAAAGGAAACGTACGTATACGCGTCGTTATCCATCGACAGGCAAAATTTGAACAGAGTTCAGCTTTTCGACGAATTTTGTATTTTTAAATCAAAAAATATTCGCGTACACTAATTTTTAACAAGCGATCGAATGTCACGGTAAGATATAGCCGACAAACGTTACGATTGATCCCGTTATCAAAGACAGTAAACGTATCCAGGTGGAGATGTCATTTAAATAGCTGTATTCTTCGGTTTACCCTCGCAGTAACTCGAGTAAACGTTATACGTAAGCCAACGGCGCATGAGAACGTTGAATTCTCAATGAAATTGTTGATATTCAAAGCTCGATGTCGGTATCTAGCGAATACGAATCGCCTCGATGTTACGGCAAATATTTACAAACCAAGATACGATCGTTGGTGATCGTCGTAACGAGATTTCGTGAAATCGTTATTTCTTCGAAAGTTTGAGAATACATCGGTCGTTTCTAAACCTTCCAAAGTCACGGTACAAGGACAAGGAGCTGTGTAATCGAGACAAACGTTTATTATGCTGTCGTATAACGTCAGGCGGATGTGACGAATTCCATTACGAAATTATGTTACATTGTTGCGCAAAACTGTAATTTCCACGAGATAACGTTGTAGGAGAAACATATTTTTGAGCTCTCATGTTCTTCGGTGTTCCGTTTCCCTAGAAATACTAATAATAGTTGGGGTGAATATTATAGAATTATCGACGTAAGTATTGTTCACCGTGACGGAAGAAACAAAATATTGTTCTCTATAATAAGTATTTATAATTAATAATCTAATTCCTCTTTTAGACGTTGGACAATAGTCAACTCCCGGAAATGACGAGTATCTAATCTGTGCGACGTAGATATACACGCAAACAACACGAATCGCAATTTTATCATTTCAATATTTAACGAAACAATTTTCGTTTCCCTTTTATGATAAAAATTTGAAGATTAGAGATTTCGCTAGACGAATATTTTAAAAAATAGTCACAATATCGTTGATATTATACGCTACAAAAATAAACCCGTGACCAAGAGAAACATACCATTTTAGAATAATACAATAGAATGATTCCAATGTAAACTTATTTAAACGAAACAAAATTAGAGTTGCGCGAGGCTCTATGTCGTCTGTACGTAGGGGGGCCGCCACTGGCCATATCTCGCGTTTCCTTGTTCGTTGCCCATAATCGCCACTCTCCGTCGGTAATTTCGATCGACGTGTTCGATCGGAAAAGAATTATGACTCTGGTCGAATCACTTTAGTCAGTAATTGACTGCATTAACGTTACGTGGACAGGTGAAGATAGACACCGATCGTTTATCATGCGAGGACCAGCACGCCTTGTCTATGCTCGTGGCGTTCGTGTTCCCATACGCCACCTACACAGACCGAACTTGAAGTTCGTTTCCGCGGAGCTGTTCCGTTTCTCGAAGGTTTTTTCAAACGTGGACAATGGCGTCACAGAGTAGTTTTACTTGGTTCTTACAACCCCTGTATTCCATCTGTCTTTGTCTAGCAGAGCTTGCGTACAAGTGCATGATTTCGCCTAACCTCTTCCGAAGCTTTTCTTACAAATGTTTATTCTCTTTATTCAATTGTGTCAGGTATTAATTATTTGGACTTTTTTTTTTTTTTTTTTTTTATCGCCAAAACAAATAATAGTTTCGTTATCAGCGTCATTTCAACTGTCATTCTCTACGAAATTTCGAACTTTTCAATTTTAACATTTTCGAAGTTTGATTGTCCGCGCCGAGCAGATAGTGAAAGCGGATGTTTCCCGTGATTATCGCGGAAGAGTAACAAAGTTGAAGGCGAGGAAGCAGAGGAGTTTGCGTATAAACGTGAGATAGAATCGGAAGCGCGGTATCTATAAGAAAAAGAATACAGGTGTGGGACGCGATGCGACGATTGAGATTCAAAACCAAGCATATAATTCGAACAGCCGTATACGCTCAACGACGTGTAATAATAATCTCCACCGGGTGTTAGATCCGGCTAACAAGATAAACGTGTTGTTATTCGCGACGCTGGCATTTGTGTTCCATCGCGAGCTACGATAATAACGATGGAAATTAACCTGTTTGACGTTGGAACGGATACGTCTCGGATTAAATTGTATCGTCGCGATGAAATTGTTCGTGGAATCATAGAGAGATCAAGTCGTTATTCGCAGTTATAGTGGAAAATAGTGTTCGCAGTTATAGTGAAAATATTTTCTTTTTTTTTTTTCCAGAAAATTGCCAAGACGATGAGAAAGAGGCGCATTAATTAGCCGAACGATGCATCATGGCCTCCTCTTTAGGGGGACCAGGACTGACGTCTGGTGTTCCAACACCGCGAAGAGTCAACCTGGAATTTCCACCGCCACCGCCTTATCCACCTCCCCACAGTCAGGTATAATTTGCATCGCGCGATGCTTTACTTAAATCGTACTTGCAACCTTATAGACAAGCCTTTAGCCCCCATTATTTTAAACGATTTCTTCCCAAGGTCAGAACGTTATCCTAAGAAGAAAAATATTATTTTCTGCTAATGAACGGTTCTCGTTTTTGTCAGATGGCCTGCACGGGTCTGACGGATCCTGCATCGGTGGCGTCGCCCATGGCGAGCTCCGCTCACCAGCATCCCCTTCAGGATTATTCGTACGCGTACTACGAACCAGGCCCGAGCCGACTGCACGGCGCGTATCCGCCGGAAGCGGGCCTGAATCGTGTGCAGCAGCAACAACAGCAACCACTGCGCCCGGAACCGTTCAAAAGGCACACGTACATGACCCGATACGGGACGGAGGAGAACATTTACGAGGAAATATCAGAGATCAAGTGAGAGGAGCTAGATCTATGCTCGACTTCTTAACGGTTTATACCTAAGACTGAGAGTCCTTTCTTTAAGTAACTGTCGTCCTAGAGAATACGTGCTTAGTCGATTTTTTACGAGGCTTCGGTAATAGAAGAAAAGTTCCCCTCGGGGAGGAACGCATCCTGCGAGGTAAAGGGTGCTACGCGAGGGTTTCTCGCGGATCGATACCAACGCGGAATTACGTTTCATTTGGTCTAAATGGTTGATGAATACGCGCCGTATGTTCACGAAGTGAACTTCACTGACGCGAGTGAATGCGGTTTTAAGTGGACAACGAGCACATCACCCCGGCCACTTGGCCCGATTCGACGCGCCACGCACCGGATGCCATGAGACGGTGATTAAGTCGCCGGACAATAAGAAAAACAACAGTCGTAGATTGTCCGCGCAGCATCCACTAAGTCATTCATCGGGACAGGATAAATACCCATTCAAATTGACTAGGATTCCCGAGTAAATTATTATGCGACACGGCGGCCGCCGCTGTCCCTTTTAAACCGTTACCATTAATAGGATGCGCTCCCGAGGAAGCCTTAAAGGGCGAATTTGGTCGATGAGGTTTCGCGAGGCGATAGAGCTTGAAATACCCAAGGTCTGTGATTATTGTTTTCTCGGGTCAGGGTTAATAGTTTACGAGATAGTTAAGAGGACTAGGGACAGGGCGGTCAAAGAGCTCTGAAATTAAGCGCTACAGAATAAAAACAAAGAAAAAGAGCAAAGGAAGGAAAATCTGATCAAACGTCGATCCGCGAAGATCGATGTATAATTGAATCATTTTCAAACGATGATCGCATAGGTTTGGTGAGGTTTGTATTCATGCGTAAATCGTCCGAATTCATTAGCAGACAATGCCACCGAGCGTTGCACGGCTCGAGGAGGTCCCTGGTGGCGGAGGAGGTCCGAAGAGTCCAGTCACGGCATCGTCGGGTACTGGGGGAATTGAATCTGAGCGTGGAGGCGATGCTGATGCCGACCGTGGCCGACAACAACGACGAGGATGAGCCCCAGGATCAACGAGGAGCGTCCACGGAGGAGCTGTTATCTTCGGTCAGTCCCACCGACGACCTCCTTTCACCTGTTGGCTGTGATATGGACAGTGGCTTCAGTGGAAGCTCCAGTGCAAGTTACAGGTTGATAGAAATCGTAATTATAGTTTTAAGAAATAGTTGCGAAACGAGAGCAACGCCAAGATTCGCGCGTTACTTATATTTTTATGCGTTGTTGCGTGCGTCAGCGTGGCATGTCCATGCTCGTAAAAGTGGAGAGATAGTAACGTTTTCGACTGTTATTTGCTTAGGTCCGGACTGGGGTCCTTGAGGAGAGGAATGGGTAAAACTAGCACGCCGGAATTGCCGGTCGGTCAGCGTAAAACGAAGGCCGCTATGATCTGGAAAAAGGGTTGGAAAGGCTGGAAAAAGCTGCATTCTTTCGGTAGCAACAACAACAAGACTGGTGAGTCGTACGCAAGTGCTCGATTACTCGTCGAGAGTTTCTATACTAGTTACGTTTACTTTTAGAAATAACTCTGAAACAAGCTTACGCGTCTTGGTCGAGCAGCAAGTAGTAAGATCGTTCAAATAGTATTCGAAGAGTAGACTATAATCGAATATACACATAAGCGTTCAATTATACGCATTGAAATGCAGAACGACTCGAGGACTAGCCCCCCCTTGTTGTCAGGCGATACCTTTATCGTCCGCGTCGCGTAGGTGGGATAACGACCCTAACTCATTGTGTTTGGTTCTGTTTCTACGCTCGCCGCCGTCTTAAGGACGATAAATCCCAACAATGAAAGTGCAATCGACTCTGGTCAAGCATCGGTCACGAACCACTCACGGACACGAATTAATTGCCACCGCGGCTGTGACTTGGTTAAAAATTCTCGTTGGGCGACCCGTGATTCGCGTGCCATGACTACCAACCGCGAGAAAGAAAGACATATCCCAGGTGTGTGCCCCTCCTTTTCTGCAAGTGTCTCGAGAAGCATGCGAACGCTCGACACCTTCGGTCATGTGTGACCAACGCGGAATGTCTTAAATAACGAGTAATAATAATAATTTCTATTTTATGCGGTTATAATTCCTTTCAAACTTTTTTTTTTTTTTTTACTGGATTTATTATTATTAGACTACTCCAAAGAATATTGGTCATTTCGAAACTTTAATTTATAAGCAGCTGAATGATATTCCTTCGTAATTTAACGTAAGATATAGGAAAGATGGTATCGAACACCTTACCCAGCGCTGAAAATATTCGATCGGTGTATGACCCAGATAATCGTAGTATATCGTGGTAGATTGATGGCGAACCTGATGGAATATCGCCAAGTAGTGGGAGGTGGCAATCGCGATTCGCGATCAATCTTGGCGTGTAACGCACACGCACAGCGATCAGATGGTCGGGCACCTTTTGTCCGTCTTATTCATGGCCCTATGTCGCGCATAACTGCACAAGTATGTACGGGCCTTTCTTTCATGGGAACACAGGCCGGGGTATGACGCAAGCGTTTGGCCCCGCGCTCTCGTGTGCATTTGGCGCACGAACCGAGTTAATTATTGGTACTTGGAAGGGGTCAGCCGCGGGGTCACTCGGTGGAGAAGCAGATGCGAGACCACGTGCACGCCCTTCTCTTGCCGCTTTAATCTCTATCTCCCTCGAGTCGCTCTTTCTACCCCACGGCCACTTGGATTTTCAGGTTGGTATACAGGATGGCCAAAAATAAGCGACGCTTGAAATAATGCCTGAACCGTTAACTCTTTGTAACATCGCGTGACTCTTTATTTACTTGCTCGATAATTCACTTTACCGACTCGAAAATTCGCCGACAGATAAGATTTATCTTTGCGATTCCACTTGATTCGCGTCCTTTATTGGATCCTCGTTGTACGTCAGAGGCTAATTACTCGTGTTTACGGACATAGTTCGGATAAGCGATTATCGATTATTTTTACCGTTCGGCGTTCTTACCGCGATTACAGAGTTCGTCGGCTTCAAGTTCGTCGGCTTCACCTTGAAATTCCGAGAAGAGTCTCCACATCCGGTGGCCACCACAAAGCTGGTATTGTTTCGAGCGCTAGACGAGCGTCCTTCGTAGTTCGGCGTTGAGATTAGGGTAGGCCCGAGGCATTCGAGAATCTCGATGGATTCCCGGAAACCATATGGTTCACTTAACAGACTGCTCTTTTCCCAACATCTGCTCCCGAACAATCTCGGCACTCTATCGAATTCGGCATTACGAAAATTATTGTATGGTTCTTGCCCAAACCAACTCTGATATTAATTATAATTGCATCGTTAACATAGAGATGATATAAAAATGCGCTAAACAGAAACAGTAGTCTACTCTATCTGTGATACCTCTACGGACACAATAGGTCTTTATTATTCATCGAGTACGGTATCAATGGTCAATGGCATTCGCCAAGTTTTCCTATCGTTAATGAGAGATCCTTCGTTTCGGTCACGTTTGAACGCTCGCACGGTAGAATGCGTGTAATTGCCAGCGAAAGAAACGTACTTCCTTTAAAAGGAACAATCCAACGGTTTGTCCGCGATATAGCAGTTATCGAAAGGAACACGAAACCCTTGGCAAGAACGAAAGGTATGCGAAAAACATCGAAAGAAGGCTAAACGCATTACGAGCCGAGAGAAAGGCGCCAGACGAGACTCGGCTCGCGCTATTATCGCGATACTTTATTGGTATTCGTTTCGACAGCGTGTAATATTCGTATCGTAATCGATCTGGCTTCGATACCGTGATTCCCTTGCCTTCGAGTAACTCTACGATCGAGTCGATTCCGTCGTTTCTGTTCTTTTTCATCGTCGCTATATACCGATGGTGAATGAAACCACGACACGATGCAAAGAAACGCGATCTCGAGTGGCGTCGAGCGTCTGTGGCGCCACTCAACGGTCAACGTAACTAACTACATTTATTCTGGATTCCCCACAAACTGCACTCTCTTCCATCGGTTTCAGAAATAAATTGTACAGTTGTATCGGATCGATTTTGTTTCGTTAGAAGGTAGCCAACTCCTTCGTTCTGTGTTGAACATTGAGATATTACAAGTTGGGCAGGATAGCCAGACTACTCGTCTCTGTCTACCAGCTGTCTACACTCTACATTTTCGTATCATTTTTATATCAACGATCTCTGTCTGTAAATATCAAATACCAAAGAGTAATACCAACATCGTTTAATAAAAGAGACACCTTATAAAGCAATGTACAGTTAAACCCGTCGTGCAATAATCGATTACGTTGCGATTCCTGAAAAAAGTATATTTGAACGTGATCCCTCGACTGTGGAGACGACGTCACAGCTTATTGGCGATGGTCTCCACAGCGTGCATCACTCGGATCATGATGGATCTATTCTCATCGTCCCTTCGTTTCATATACTCGAAGATCTGCTCGATACGACGATCGGTCCGTGACTCGTGATCCTCGAGATAGGGGGCCCGCGTTCTTCTCGACTTTCTCGGTCTTCCCTCATCCTCGTTACGTGCGGCGGTCGATCGTCCTTTGTCTCTGGTGGAATCGACGACGTCGTTTCCTCGTAACCTCGACAAGTCCTTAGAGCAGTCTGCCTCCGACGTCACTTTTCTGATCGTGAGCTCCGTAGCGCGCGGTAAACGTGGCATCGATGCCCTAGGCTCTCGTTTCCTTCTCGCATAACTCTTGCCAGTTTGCCTGAAAATTAAGGGCTCCTTTTGCCGTGAAAAGATCGAAAGAGGACGCAGAAAATTGTTAACCCTTGGCGATTCTATGTGAAACAGGGCGAGGCTCGACAAAAATGTACCGAAATTGGAAAATCTAAATCGCGGAGGGTTAATAATTTTTTAATTTCGTTCGAGTTATTTGATCTTGGACTGTACCTAGTAGCTTCTCGCGTCGGTACTTTCTCGATTTGAATCGAGGTGTCGCCGAAAGTTCTCAGCCTTTGGTCAGGGTGTAAGTCGACATCTCGACGCTCGATTTCCGAGTCAGATCCGACAGGAAGCGCGTCCACCGACGAGGTGGGCTCTTCCGGTGTCACGGAGACGCAAAGGAATTCGTGGGGATCGATGTACTCGTCGTGATTCGGCGTTCCCCCGCGGTCGTGCCCTCCCAGGAGCTCGTCGATCGCGCTGTAAAAGGGCCAAGAGACGTCGTCCTCCTTGTTTCTGTCTCCGTGTACCGGGTTCCTCAGTTCCTTCAACAGATCGCTGTGGCAGATGCATAGTAACAGGACGAGAGCTAAGCGAGTCGTGCTCGGTCGTGTCCTTCGTGTGTGTGTGTGTGTGTGTGTGTGTGTGTGTGTGTGTGTGTGTGTG